TCGCCAGCATGGCACTAACCAGCTGCTGTATACTGATGAATCTGGCCCAGGAGCCCAAAATATGGATAATATGCAAAACAGAAGAATTGCAAAGATGGTCTCCTCCTCTTACCAGATTCTCCTCCTATTCAAAAAACCTCTCCAATTCTTACAAGCAGTTCTCCATAATTTCTGATTCCAAAGACTCAATGAAGCCACAAATCACATGCTCTCTGTCTAAAAGAAGACTATGAAATATGGAGAAACATTAAAAAAAATCACAGCAGAACCCCTTTATTTGGTCTAATCCTGCTCCCATTGGCTTTGTCAACAATTACAGTTTCTGGGTTATCTCCCACAGTTGTCATATGACTCGCACATCTCCTCCAGTGTTACCAGTGATGGAGAAATAAAGTAGAAATAGAGTACCCCAGTTCTGAACACGTTTACCTGGTACACTGGTAAAAAACACATGCCTGTTTCTAGTGTTGGCGGAGTGGCACAAATTTAACAATAGGTAATGTGCAGCACCAGTGTTGTGAATTGGCTATCACGGGTTTAAATAAGGAGAAAGTCTGTTTATTTGATTATAATTATTTAATGAAGATTGCATTTTTTTCAGCATGAATCCTCCAGTAAAGATGTTTGGGAAAGGTAAGCAATAACCCAATGTAATTTGTTACTGTTTTATTTTTATATTAATTCTTGCAGCATAATGTAGTTCACACCAACACTGCTGCATATATTGTTCTGAATTGTGTTATTCACAGAAAAAAAATATCAAAAATAAGAATCAGGATTTCCCATTGATTAAATTTTGAAATACCTTAGCTGACCTACAAATGTAATGTTGGGTCTGTAAAAGGCAGTGTACCTTTAATAAATTGTCATGCTTTTTTGCTTATGAGTCATAGAATCATTGAAGTGTAGGACTGGAAGGGACCTCAAGAGGTCATCTAGTCCAGTCCCCTGCACTCAAGGCAGGACTAAGTATTATCTAGCCCATCCTTGACAGGTGTTTGACTAACCTGCACTTAAAATTCTCCAATGATGGAGATTCTGCAACCTCCCTAGGCAATTTATTCAAGTGTTTTTTGTAATGTCCAACCTAAACTGCCCTTGCTGCAATTTAAGCCCATTGCTTCTTGTCCTATCTTCAGAGGTTAAAAGAGAACAATTTTTCTCTTCCGCATGTCTTATTTCATTCATCATACAGCATAAACAGTTGTAGTTAGAAAGAAATATTGAATGCATGGTTTTAAAAATGTGCAATTACACAGAAGTGATGAACAGTTTTGTTTTGTTTTTAAATAATGCACTCTCTTGTTAAGGCCACAAACACTGGTAAATATCAACCCAGCTATAGAATATTAAGCAAATTCTTAAGATTCTTGCTGCTGCTGCCTAAAACCAGAACTTAAGCCTACATTTCCTGTAATCACTTTTTTTAGACACTGACTGACTTGATGTGTTGATCAACAACTAATGCCTTTCTGCAAACATAGAGGTCCAGCTTCAAAGTATAATTTTGGGGCCTGATTCTCACTTACGCTATGGCCTCTTCCCACTGCTCCAGCAGTGTAAAATATAAAGTAGTCATAAAGATAACATAAAATTGATTCATACCCAGTATAAGGCATCTTTATGTTACCAGTGTGGTGTAAAATGGCCTTAGTGTCAATGAAAATCAAGCCAAAAATACGTACTTTGAGGTAGCACAGTGGGAAATGACCTAATTAAATTGAAGATTAAAGGCCACTGCATTAAACAACGTGTGCTAAAACTTGTTTAATCTTAAAAAGATTAAAGTGTTAGTGAATACTCATTGTTTATTATTAATTGTTTTATTCTGAAAAGACTGGCTGATTTTAGTGTAAATTTGTCCTGCATGGTGAGACAATCCACAATGAAAAGCTGCCTGTTAACTATAAAATATATGGATACACTTCATGCTGCAATGTATTGTCCTCTTGAACATACATTTTGTTACAGCTTGGGACTGTATCCACTTCCCAAAGACTGCATACTAATCTTTGTTTTGAACACTGCTGTTTCAGATGCAGGAGACAATGATGTTTATGATGATGTAGAATCATCTGAATTCCCTCCTCCACCAATAGAAATTGGGTAAGTGAAAATAAAAGTTATACTTGTGGGAAAAGATTATATATGGTGTGACACATTTTCAAAGTATTTGCTAATGGCAAATTGTTACATTACTCAGCTTGTATATCTTGTTTGCTGTTGCCAGGTACTGTAGTTCTCGTTGCCTGGGAGTTGGCACTGTAAATTAAAAGTTCAAATCCTGCATTTGCAGTTAAAACAACAATGGAATTAGGCTGGTAGAGTAAATAGGCTTTGCAACATGCCCAGAATTTCAACAAATTCATGCTCTGTTGGCCGAAAGGGAGAAATGAATTCCAGAGTCAAGGACTTCCTGCTGTAAATGCCCTGCCTTTAGTCTCTTTATTTAAACCTAGGGACTGATACCTTGTGTGCTATGGTTGATCTCAGCTGCTCCAGTATCATGTGAAGAGAGAAGGCAATCATAGAAGATTAGGGTTGGAAGAGACCTCAGGAGTTCATCTAGTCCAACTCCCCGCTCAAAGCAGGACCAACCCCAACTAAATCGTCCCAGCCAGGGCTTTGTCAAGCTAGGCCTTAAAAACCTCTAAGGTTACATCCCTAATGTATCCAGGACCCAAACCACTTAGAGACTTATGTGTTACATTAACACCTGGTTTTGTACCTGGAGATGAACTGGCAATCAGGGCAGAGATGTATTATACTAATATTATGTATTTTGATGTATTATACACCGGGATCAAAGATGTATTACACTACTTGCTAAGAGGACCAGTAACTAAACAGGCTGTCATACACTTCCCTTGCTGACTTTTCATCATAGACTTCAGTACAGCCCCAGTAGAAAGCAGGTCAGTAACCCAATCTGGAGGTGACAAAGACACAGAACATTAGCAACATCCACATACAAAGGAAAGACTGGACCCACCATTTCCAGGCTATTTCAACAGCCTCCCTGTGTGAAAGGTTCTGTGGTTTTCAGCCCTAGAAAGATCAGAAAGACAGGAGGTGGAGTCAAAGCTCAACTTTCCAGAAGTGGAGGGATGGAGGGTGACAAAGGAATTCAGTCTCTGCCACAGACAGTCTGACAGCATCACAAGCATGGAAATAACAATGGCACTCTAGGTGGACCTTGTGTATATTTGTGTGGTGCAGATTCCCTGGAATAGTGAGGCCATGTATGGTCACATAGGCTTAAGGCTGCTACTCTGTGAGAGGCTAGAACTATCCAGGCAGCTCTACAATTCATCTAGATTACAAAACCTGTAGCACAACAAGCATACATGTTCCCCGGAAAACCACATCCTGCATAGGGTTCTAAAATGGTGTCATTTATCTAATCTATAGTATGTAGGTGAGAGGTATTTTTTTAATAGTTTTCTTATTTTGTGTGGGTAGTACTGTACATAAATAACAGTCAGAACTCACATACACCTAATAAACATAGAAAAGAAAATATTCCTACTTTTCTATGCTTTTAAAAATCCAACTCATAGTGTGTAATGATTATCCATATTAGCACAGTAGATGTAAAAGAAATTGATCAAAGACAAATGAAGTGTAAATGCAAGTTTACTGAAGAGTCTGAAAGTGTATCACATCCTATCACATGTTACTAATTGTGTTTTGTCTCTAATCTGGTGTTTTAGATCATCATTAATGATGAAATCTCTGAGCCTCGGAAGGGGTAAATCAGATGAGAAAGACACACGAAAGCTTAAAAAGATGGAAAAAGAGGAGAAAGAGTTCAGAAAAAAGTTTAAAGTAAGTCTTATTTGAATACAATCTAAAAATGAAAATATTTGTATGATTTATTCTCTAATTTGTAAATTATCCATTGATTTCTTCTGCCACTGAAAGGTAAAGTACTCATTTTTGGAGATCACGTGATCAGCTTTAATGGAATAATATTTACTCCACTCAATATTTTAAACGTAGCTTTAAAAATTCCAATCATCAGCATTGATTTCTCCCCCTAAATGTTAATCTTGCAAAGCTTTACATAAGAAATCCTATCAATTTAAATGGAAATACTACAGCAAGTAAGTATATTCTGCATGAACAAAGGTTTCAAGGACAAGGCTTATCTCAGTTAAGTCAATACTTGATTAACAATGAAATAAAAACATATAAAATCAAAGCAGTTTTGAGTGAGTTGCACATAGACACAGAGTCAGTGAGTGCTTGTAATAATTGACAATTTACATCTTCGGAGTGCTGAGCAAAGTTAGATACTTGATCCTCACAACCACCTTTTGAAGTAGCAAAATATTACTATCCCCACTTCTTTAGATGATGGAACTGGCCCACAGAGGTGAATTCAGAGGTGCTGAGATCCTCAGTTTTCCTGAATTAATCAGGGGTTTATGGGCGCTCAGCACCCTAGAAATCATAAGTGACTTGTCCAAATCAGTGTGAAAACTCAGATTAGAACTCAGGAGATTCTGTACCCAACTCCTCAGTCAAGGAATTGACCTACTTCAGACTTTGGCCTTCATCTATCTGACACTCTTTTTGGTAAAGTTAAATTAAACTGCAGATGTTATAGTAACATAAAATCTATATATCTTTTAGTTGTGTGTTCCTGTGGCAACTTTAGCTCTTTCAAATGACAGTTTAGGAACAAAAGTTAGTGCAATGATGTAGACTTATTTATATTCAGACCCACTGGATAAGGGCAGCAATTTTCAATGGTGCTTAACCCTGTCTGGCTGCCATTTGAAATCAATGGCAAACTTAGGCCAACGCTCAGCACCTTAGAAGTATAGTAATTTGTACAAGATTAATTTACATTGTGAGGGCTTCTGCCTTATGTCTAGTATCAGGAGGTAGCCACGTTAGTCAGTATCCACAAAATGATACATCTGAAGAAGTGAGTTTTTTACCCACGAAAGTTTATGTCCAAATAAATCTGTTAGTCTTTAAGGTGCCCCCAGACTCCTTGTTGTTTTGGCCTTATGTCTGACACTACCACAGTAGGCACAAATTAGTAATAATAGTACAATTCACACAGACTCATCATTTATTGTATCATTTTAATTAAAGGATTTTTTTTGCTTTGTGGTACACAAAACATTAAACAGCTGCTGCCATTAATAACTGAAATAGGATTTAGGCATTTAATCAATCTCAAAAACTATATGATGCTGATAAGCTGCAAAGTAATAAAGATTGTTCCTCTTACACAATAAAAGCACAAGAATGGCTATATTGGGTCAGACCAATCGTCCATCTAGCCCTGAAAGCTGTCTTCCGACAGCAACCAGTGCTAGATGCTTCAGAGGGAATGAATAGAACAGGGCAGTTATCGAATGCTCCATCCCCTGTTGCCCAGTTCCAGCTTCTGGCAATCAGAGCTTTAGGGACACCCAAAGCATAGAGTTGCCTCACTGACCATTGGCTAATAGCCATTGATGGGCCTATCCTCCACGAATTTATCTAATTCTTTTTTGAACCCAGTCTTACTTTTGGCCTTCACAATATCCCCTGGCAATGAATTCCATGGGCTGACTGTGCATTATGTGAAGAAGTACTTCCTTATGTTTGTTTTAAACTTGCTGCCTATTAATTCCATTGGGTGACCCCTGGTTCTTGTCTAATGTGAAGGAGTAAATAACACCTCCTTATTCACTTCCTGCACACCAGTCATGATTTTATACATGTCTCTCATCTCCTCCCTTAGTCATCTCTTTTATAAATTGAACAATCCCAGTCTTTTTTCATCTCTCCTCATAGGGAAGCTGTTCCATACCCAGAAACATTTTTGTTGCCCTTTCTGTACCTTTTCCAGTTCTAATATATCTTTTTTTGAGATATGGCAACCAGGACTACATGCAGTATTGAAGATGTGGGCGTACCATGGGTTTATATAGTGACATTATGACATTTTCTGTCTTATTATCTATCCCTTTCCTAATGGTTCCTAACACTCTGTTAGCTTTTTTGACTGCCTCTGCACCTGGAGGAAATGTTTTCAGAGAACAATCTACAATGACTCCAAGATCTCTTTCTTGTCTGATAACAGCTAATTTAGACCCTATCGTTTTGTATGGTATAGTTGGGATTATGATTTCCAGTGTGCATTACTATGCATTTATCAATAAAGAATTTCCTCTGCCAATTTCTTGTCCTGTCTCCCAGTTTGTGAGATCCATTTGTAACTCTTCACAGTCAGCTTTAGACTTAACAATCTTGAGTAATTTTCTGTCATCTGCAAACTTTGAAACCTGAGTTTACCCCTTTTTCCAGATCATTTATGAATATGATGAACAGCACTGGTCCCAGTGGGGACCCCACTATTTACCTCTCTCCACTGTGAAAATTGACCATTTATTCCGACTCTTTTTGTTTCCTGTCTTTTAACCAGTTACAGATCCATGAGAGGACCTTCCCTCTTATCCCATGTCTGCTTACTTTGCTTAACAGTCTTTGGTGAGGGACCTTGTCAAAGACTTTCTGAAAGTCCAAGTGCACTGTATCCACTGGATCACCCTTGTCCACATGTTTGTTGATCCATCAAAGAATTCTACAAATTGATGAGGCATGATTTCCCTTTACAAAATCCGTGTTGACTCTTCCCCAACATATTGTGTTCATCCATGCGTCTGATAATTCTGTTCTTTACTATAGTTTCAATCAGTTTGCCTGGTACTGAAGTGAGACTTACTGACCTGTAATTGCCAGGATTGCCTCTGGAGCCTTTAAAAAAAAAAGCAGCATTACATTAGCTATAAATCATAGAATAATGTTTGCCTCCCTTGGGACAGTTTGAAAGTGCTTTGTTTCCTCTGTCTCAGTAGATCCAGTGTTTCACACACTTGGGACATGGATACAAACTGAATAAAAGTGGCGCTTTGGTTGACAGTCTCAACACAGTGGCCAAGGACTGAACGATCTGTGCTCTGGCTTTTAGCCCTGGTCTACACTAGGACTTTAGGTCGAATTTAGCAGCATTAAATCGATGTAAACCTGCACCTGTCCACACGATGAAGCCCTTTATTTCGACTTAAAGGGCTCTTAAAATCGATTTCCTTACTCCACCCCTGACAAGTGGATTAGCGCTTAAATCAGCCTTGCCGGGTCGAATTTGGGGTACTGTGTACACAATTCGACGGTATTGGCCTCTGGGAGCTATCCCAGAGTGCTCCATTGTGACTGCTCTGGACAGCACTCTCAACTCAGATGCACGATTGTTTGCCATTGCTCTGACGCAGGGAGGGGCGACTGACGACACAGCTTACAGGGTGGGCTTACAGGAAGCTAAAATCAACAAAGGGGGTGGCTTTACATCAAGGAGTATTTCAGGCAGGACTTCACGGAGGGTTCCAATAAGAAATGGTGCACCTAAGTTATTGTTCTTATTGGAACAAGGAGGTTAGTCTGGCTTCTGATTGATACACGGCTAGATTTACCTTGCTGCACCTTCTCTGTGAGTGACTGCAGTGTGACCTAGAGGAATGAGTCCCCTAGACGGGGGGCGGGAGGGGGGCGTTGCAAATGAGTACAAAACAAATCTGGTCTATTTCTTGTTTTGATACACTCCATCTATCTTTTACATCTTTGGCTGGCAGCAGATGGTGCAGAAGGACTGCATGCCATCTACATCTCATGGCTGCTCGGCAGAAGATGGTACAATAGGACTGCTAGGCATCCTCATCTCTTGCCTGCCCGGCAGAAGACGATGCAATAGGACTGCTAGCAATCCGTATCAACTGCCTGCTCACCATAAGATGGTTCAATAGGACTGACTGCAGGACTAAAGAGAATGACTTGATCAGGTCACTCCAAATTTAGTCCCTGTGCCCATGTCTGCCCAGGCGCTCCTGATCGACCTCATACAGGCGACCAGGAGCACGTCGGACATGACGATGACAGCTACCAGTCCTATTGCACCATCTGCTGCCACAAGGCAATGGGTTGCTGCTGCTGTGTAGCAATGCAGTACCGCGTCTGCCAGCACCCAGGAGACATACGGTGACAGTGAGCTGAGCGGGCTCCATGCTTCCCTGGTATGGCATCTGCACAGGTAACTCAGGAAAAAAGGCGCGAAACGATTGTCTGCCCTTGCTTTCATGGAGGGAGGGAGGGAACAGGGGCCTGACGATATGTACCCAGAACCACCCGTGACAATGTTTTAGCCCCATCAGGCATTGGGATCTCAACCCAGAATTCCAATGGGCAGCGGAGACTGCGGGAACTGTGGGATAGCTACCCACAGTGCAACACTCCGAAAGTCGACTCTAGCCTCGGTACTGTGGAAGCACTCCGCCGAGTTAATGCACTTAGAGCATTTTCTGTGGGGGGACACACACTCGAATATATAAAACCGATTTCTAAAAAAACGACTTCTATAAATTCGACCTAATTTCGTAGTGTAGACATACCCTTAGAGTGATTCATCCAGCTCAGAGCGGGAGTATATTGGGAAACAGTGAAGGGAAGTCTGCGTTGCCGCTGCCTGTGCTGTACCCTGTTTGTTTGATGGAAAGATGGTTTCACTCTCTGCCTGTGCCAGTTCCGCGACCTTCGCTAACACCAAAATTCCTCTACAAAAATTTAGAAATCAGTAAAATTATTCAAATGCAGCTGAATAATTGTGTGAAAGGACTAGCCTATAGGGAAAGAAGTGATTTTATTATGTATGTCTCATGTCAATAAGAGTTTGTCATTTGTGATTTTTTGACTGACATGGCCAATTTTCTCTTTTGGTAGTTCTGTCTATAATACATCATGTGTATAATGTATGATAAGTTTATTACTAGAATAAAATATACAGCATCCCGTTCATTCACACCAAGGGCTGACTTTCAAACACTTTGAAACGCAGTTGCATTCTCTATTTGTACCAGGAAATTGGGTACTTGCATAGCAAATGGCATTGCAGATGACATCAATTTGCTATCCCATACCCATAGAGACGTGCAAGCCAAAATCAAATGATCCAGATTAGTAGGATTAAAAATCAGCACCAAGAAAACTAAAACCATGAGAATTAACCCACAACAAGAAACACCAATAAACTTTTCTGGGACTGACGTAAAAAAGATCCAATATTTCACATATTTTGGCAGGATTGTAAATGTCACAGGTAGAACAGACATTAAAGCCAGAATATCAAAAGACAGACATGCCTTTGTAGTGCTCAAGTTGATCTGGAGAAACATAAATTTTGCCCTCCAGATTAAATTTCAAATATTTAACACTATTGTCAACTCAATATTACTATATTGCACTGAAACTTGGAGACTTATTAAGACCTTCCTATCTAAACTCTAAGTTTTCATAAACAGCTACCTTAGAAAAATCCTCAATATCAGATGGCCAGTAAAAAAACACAAATGAAGAACTCTGGGGGACAAAACAGAAACCGATAGGACAGGAAATTATGGAACAAAAATGGAGATAGCTCGGACATACGTGGAGGAAAGACCTGAATAACGTAAGATAGACATAGGACTGGAACAGACCCAGGGCAACAAGCAATGAGGGAGACCAAGAATAACATGGAAGCACACAACAGAAGCAGAACTGAAAGCCATCAAAATAATATGGGAAGAAGCTAAGACTGCAGCAGCAGGAGATCAGCAAAGATGGAAGGCCCTGTGTTCTGCATGGAATAAAGAGGCATAAGAGATGTGCAGTCAAAAGTATAGATACCATAATAGCGCACACAATTACTTGCCTAAGTTTCTGAAAACCAGACCATAAGTGTTAAGAAACTGTAACACAATGTATAAGAGACTATAAACCTCCTGTAATGTTTGCATCTTGCATCTCTTTATTTTGTTTTTGCAGTTTGAAGGTGAAATTAGAGTTCTTTATTCCACTATGATTATCGCAGATCTGCCGTCTAAAAAATGGGGAGCAAAAGACTTACCAGTGAAACCAGGGGAGTCAGTTGAAGTTATACAAATCATAGATGATGCCAAGGTCCTGTGTAGGAACGAAGAAGGGAAATGTAAGTTATATAACACATGGTACAACATGACACATATTGTGGAACAAACTGGCAAGTAGAGAATAATAATTTACTGCACAACATCACTCATGAAACTAGAAGAATCACAACCTTGTTATGATCAAGCATTGACTAATGATCGCTTTTTCTGGTTGCTTTATGTCTGACAGCATATAGATTATTTGTTGTTATTATTTTGTTATTACTTACAGTAGTGCCTACACAAATGCATGATAAGAGACTGTGCTTGTCCTAAAAAGCTTACCAGCTAAATAGACAAGACAGATCAGGGTGAGAGAAAGGCAGCATTATTATTTAATTAAATATTAGTTTGCATTTCCCAAGATTAACAGGTTTTGTCTGCTGCTCAGATCACTCTATTCATCATATAGAGTACAACTAAAATTTCAGATAGAATTTAATGAAGCAGTAGGGGCCAAATTCACCCTCCCTGCACCTCCAGTGTCAGCTCTCCTACAATTCACCCATAGGAGGACTAGTGATGGTGGTCCGACTTGCCCTCATGCTAGATTTCTATTGTAAGGGAGGGAGGTTTAATCCTTTCAGGAGGCTCTATGGGAGCACCACCAGGGAGTTCTCCACTCAGCAGATCTTAATCACATGTCCTCCCTGGCCAGTGCTGCCTGTTATTAGGGGTTCATAAAGCAGCTGCAGCCAGACATCCTGGAAAAATGTCTTGGCTTCTTCTGTCTGTCTAGCAGAAGCTGGTATGTCCCTTATGTAAATTTGGCCCATGTCCTGATGGTTTTGAATCCTCCAGAGATATTTAATTACCCTACTTTATAAAATTCCCAAATCGGTAGAAATCCATGTTGTATATAAAAAGATGGATGAATAGGCTGCGGGGATACAACACTGCTCTTCCAGCTGCCCTCCTCTTCCATTCTCCCAGCCCATGCCATGGGCTAAAACAGTGACTTTTACCCTTTCATATCTCCTATGTGGGGATTACTGGTCACTGGATCTACATAAGCATGGACCTTTCTTTTGGCATGTCCACTCTGTTCCCCATGTTCTAATCTGTTCTAATTGGGAGCAGAGTCTTCTCCCCAGGGCACCTGGAGGGTGTGGAGGCTCCCCGGCATGGCTGCATGTGGGTTTTCCAATGTGTGGACAGGCCCCTGGCCTGGGCCCTTCCCCAATGGGTGACTTTCATTGTAGCATTTTTCTAAATAGATCATCAACAACAAAACAGAAAATAGTTTGTGGTGTTAGTTTTCCCTATGGATTTCTTCAAAGTCCTTTGATCATTTGAAAAATGACAGAAGCTGCTACTCTGCTGTGCACAAAGGAGTGAAAACAAACAAGAACATCTTCACTGAAAATCCCTGAACAAGTCCCTGTCGACTTCCACATTAATAAGTGGATGAAAGGCCAAAACCTACCGCATTGAAGTCTATTGCACTTCTGTCATTGACTTTAGTGAGAATAGCTTCATGCCTTTTAAAGAATAATTATGCTTTAAAGCAATGGGTAGAGCAGTCCAAATTCTGTGTTAATTCTATTGACGTCAGTGGAATTGCAGAGGTTGTAAAGTTTCAGAGCAACAGCCGTGTTAGTCTGTATTCGCAAAAAGAAAAGAAACTTGTGGCACCTTAGAGACTAACCAATTTATTTGACCATAAGCTTTTGTGAGCTACAGCTAACTTCATCGGATGCATAGTAGCACATACTATGATCCAATCACTTCTTCTAATATTATATGATTATGCTAGATGGGGTTCATTTGTGAATCTCAAATGCAGATTTTAAGACTCTGCTGATTTTCTAGACATTTGAAAATTCAACGTGATTTTTATAATTTCTTTGTTAGTGAATTCACCCCAGCTAAGGGCATTATGATACATGCATATCTATAGGGTCAAAAAGATTTTATTAAATCAAATTTGAATATAGCTAAGGCTATGATTTTTTCACAGAGGTCTTCCGTGAATTTACCTCAGTGGTCAGGAGCTGCTCAGGAGGGAACCCCACAGCTCCCAACTACCACAGGAGGCAGGGGGACCCCACAGCTCCTGGCTGCCATGGGCAGTGGGGCACCCCTGAGCTCCAGGCTGCTGAGGATGGCAGGGCTGCAGCTCCTGACTGGAGCTCCGCGTTGCCACGGACAGTGGGGGTATCCCAGAGCTCCCGGCCATTGTGGGCAACGGGGGGACCCCGGAGATCCTGGCCTCCGCAGGTGGCAGGGGGACCCTGGAGCTCACAGCCTCTCTGGGCGGGGGGGGACTCCAGACCTCTGAGCTGCCGCAGGCGATGGGGGACCCTGGAGCTCTGAGCCCTCACAGGCAGTGGGAACACCCAGAGTTCAGAGCGGGGCCCCCGCAGCTGCACAGCTTCCCCAGGCAATGTGGGGACCTGCACCTAACTCCCCATTTTGGATATTTTTAGTAAAAGTCACGGACAGATCATGGGCTTCCATGAATTTTTCTTCATTGCCAGTGACATATCCGTGATTTTTACTAGAAATATCCATGACAAAATCTTAGCCTTAAATATAGCCAATACTGACAAGAATTCTAAAGCAATACAGCTGGTATTTCTCCCAACAAAAATAAAATTATAACAAACATACTACCGTAAAACATCTGTGAAATCCATGGTAGCAAAACTCAGCAGTTAAGGACTTTTCTTGTCACTTTTTCTCTTTGCACACCGATTTCCCCCATTTAATTTTTAACTTGCTCAAATACTAACATACCTACATACTTACTTATATACTACCTACATACATGCCTACATAGATCAACACATATTCTCATCTTGATGCACAAGGAATGACGATTATAGGGACAGATTCTTCTCTCAGTTATTTGGTATAAATGTAGAATACGCACATTGGAGTTATTAGAAGTATGCTGTGGATCAAATTTTCATCAACACTGCTCTCTGGGCCAGATTCAAAGTCCATGGCAGACTTTCCATTCACTTCAGTAGACTAAATGGCAGCCTAAAGGGACCTTAAAGTGTTTGTAAATGTAATTTATGTCCACATTAAGGCCCCTTTACACTGCCACAGTGTTGTAAAGAGCCCTTGGAGTAAATAAGAATCAGGCCCTCCATTTTTATCAGATAAACGAGAGCAGAGTTTTACTCACAGGCACCTACATTCACATACCACGTAAAATACACAAAAGGGAACAAAGGAGTTTTAAAACCCAGCACGTTCTGATACATAGCTTTTGGGCCATATTTTCCCACAGAGAAAGAAATGCAATATAGGCTGGAGCAGTGTCAAACAAACTCAGAGACCAGAGAGCTGCAAGAAATCCTAGCTCCTGCCTCATGAGTCCAGTCTCCTGCAATAGTAGCACAATCCTGTGACTTCAAGAAGGGGAAAAGTTGCTGGAGCCCATGAACTATTTGAGAAACAGCAATCCTGCTCTCTTGTGAATGTGCCTAATAAAGAAAGAAAGAATAAAAAGCAGAAATGAGACAGACAGAATGATTTTTAAATGGAATATTTCTCAGAGTTCTCCACGAGATATCAGCAGGTTGTCGGGCCAGTCCTGCAAAATGTTAGACTTGGTCTACACTACAGAGTTGGTCAACATAAGGCAGCTTACATTGACCCAATTATGTCAGGGTCTACACTACAATGCTGCTCCTGCTGAAGTTAGTGGCCCGCTACACCAACATAATAAATCCACCTCCATGAGAGGCGTACTGCTTATGTCAATGAAGTTAGGGAGACACAGTGTCCGTGTAGACACTGCATTACTTACCTCAGTTGTTGGCTGTCAGCCCAAGTGGGTCTGACAGCTAGAGCCCTCCACCCAGCCCCAGCGCTGACAGCCCGAGCTGTCAGTCAGGCCCTGGGTGAGGACTGAAGGTGCCGGTGTCCCACAATATCTCACTTCAGTAGTTGGAAGTGCTTCTGGTTAGGACATGCACTACCAACAGAAGGAGCCAATGTGGTTATAAACGACTGCTTTAATTACTGTGGTGGCTGTACATTGACTTAAGTCAGCTTAATTTTGTAGTGTAGACAAGCCCTTAGTCTCTACTCAGCTGGAGTCAAAAGCAGACAAAGTCTTTAAAAAGAACTCCTGTTTTTATGCCAGTGACATCCCTAGTAATGAAAGCTGAGGAAAGAGAAATGGTAAAATTCTAAATAGATAGAACTTCATGTAATTGGAGTCAGTGTCATTTAGTCAGTTGTGTGAGTAAAAATGTGCAAGATTGGGTCCTTCAGCCCATTAGCAAGACAGCTGTAGTCAAATATTTGAATGAACAAGTTATGGTAGAGGTTATTTAAATAGCCACTCTTCATGACTCTCATTATATTAATACAGGCAAGATTAATACAGGCAAGAGCATAAATATTTTCCCTAATATATCTTTAATCAAATATTAAAGGTGTAGGAAAATGAGTCATATTAATGACAACAAGATTTCATGTGCCTTTTTCAAAGCATTCCTGTTCTGACTTTAGTTCAGAAGCTTTTGGAACCCATATTAAAAAAAAAAAAAAGAACTGATAATTTGGTTGCTAACTTCTTTACTGAGAAGCTGTCATTTGGTAATTAGTTTAGAACAGTGTCACTAACCTGTAGCTGTTAACTTTGGACATAATTATTTAATTAAAGAAGATTATTTTTAAATGTGATTGTGTTAATTTAACTATTAACAGTAAGAAATTGAGGCTAAAGCAGATCTCAGAAATCTGAATAGCATCCAAATAATTACTTTATTATATTAAATTAATGTAGATTATCTTTAAAGGAATTTTCAACTCTGACCCTAGATATAAATTCTCTCTAAACAATTTTACATGATTTATGTATTGTGGCTGTGACACAGAAAAATCAATAATTTGTTCTACTAAGTCTGCTAATTGGAAAATTTACATTACAGTAACATGAGACAGGAAAGCAGAGTGGTATATGCCAGAGAGAAGCTCATTTCCCCTTGGGAATTATGGTAATTGGTGATTTTTCCCTATTTTAAGAGGGAAGCATGCTAACATGAAATGAATTACAGGAACTCTGGTTTCAAAGGCCCCAGGAGAGCAGTACGATCAGGTCTTCAATTGTTGCCTTTGTAATATTTGCTATTTGAGTTGTAATTGAAAAATAAAGGGGTGGGGGAGTATCTAACATAGCAGTGCCAAACTTGTTCAGCAGAACGTGCTGAATTCCATTTTAATGAAGGTATACATTTAAGACTACATGTTTCCTTCATTCCACTGCAGGGCTCCCACTGATGTCAATGGGTGGTTTGCACAAAAATCAAGGGTAGAATACAGCTTGAGGAGTATGCACCACTCAGAGCTATTCTCTCAGGTTGTCTGCAGACTCAGACAGACATCACCCTGTCAGCTACACTTAGTTCACATTTGGAAGGTTTTCTTTACAACAATGAAAACTTCAAACTTCCTTCTTTAATAGAAGCTGTAATTCTGCAGAATCTGAATATGACTTGTTGGCCAGACAAATACATCAGGGGGCCAGATCCTTACCAGACAGTGGGTAGTTGACATCCCTGATTGAGAGGTTTCAGACTATGGATACAATATTGCTGAATGTTTCTTTACTCTCATGGCCACCTCATCACAATTTAGAGCTTCTCCAAAAATACTAATTCTCTGTTATTTCGTAATCTAATTGGCTAATTACTTTTAAAAGATTTTTCCATTCAGTGTCTCTATTCCTAGTTCAACAATATCTTTAGGTGTATATGATTCTCTATGATTTGATTTTGCATTGACAAAATTTCTTCACTATAGCAAAATGACAGCTCTGCTATAGTTAAGATGAAGACTCACTTAATATTTAAAGAATAACTATTCTAAGTGCTCTAAAATCCACTTGCTTACTTGGATTGCACTCATGGAGGTGCAAGGTGGGGTTAGTGGTTCAAATTTGGGTTCATTTGAGCAATGGGTTCCCAAGATGCAGTCTCCCTAAAAAGGTACCTTTAAATTAGTACCAAACTTTTGCCTTCTCTACATATACTATTGTTGATCTACATACAGTTAGATCTTGTTATAGGTTCTCTCTTCTGTCAGCAACTCCCAAATGGTGGTATCAATCTCTATTGCTAGTGTTACCCCAAAAATTAGGCTTTTGGGCGCCCCTAGAATAACCTGCCTATTGCCCCCTTAATCTGCTCTTCCTGGGGTATGCGTCTCCAGGGTAGCTAAGGAAACACTTGAGGGACACGGATGTAACCTTCCGCTAAAGTGATTGACACAAGTTGCATATTTTCCAAAACAAAGTATCTTTTTATTAATTTAAGTACAATGTAATCTAAAATTGTAAATAAGATACAAATCCCTTATTGCAAATTAAAGAGCATTTAAACCACAATAGCACATAGTTTAAATGATTCTACGTGATGCACTCTATTACAGGTGTCAGTCTGCAATAGATCACTGACAATTCTTATCTTGTATTTTGAGTTTTACATAAGAAAATTATAATTAACAACCATTCATTCACACATTCACTCATATTAAGTATACTATACTTATGCTAAACTATAGTTAAAATTAACAAGCTTACTGTCTGGTGATTCCACCACATTGTTACTAATGTTGCTGCTACTTGCTGCTGAAGTAGCTTTTCTTAGCAGCGTTCTTCTCGGGATTCTAAACCCTCTCTCTCTGGAACTCTTCGATCTCCTCAACAACATTTCTGTTTGCTCGGTAAGCCCTTGGATCTTTCTTTTTGCTCCTTTCCAGCAGCTCTTCTCACTGGCTCCCGACTGACCTCTTTGCCTGCTCTCCAATCTTGTTCTCTGTCAAGTGTCTTAACTTCCTGCCTTTTATGCTGTTTTATCAGAGGTTTTTTTGTAATGCTATTCTTAACCCCTATTGAGCATACTTACTAACACACATTACCTCATCTTCAGGCTGTACATGCTTATCACCATACATTACTGTATCTCATTCTGCACATGCTCACTCATGTTGTTTCTATTTCAGAACCATGATTACCTCATCTGACCCCACTGCTCATATTCTAGGACATTTACTTTGTGACCATACCTCATTTTATTCTGCATTAACTGGGCATGGTCCAAATTTGACCTACTTAGCTGATTTTTATACCATGCATGCTCATGATCTGTAGCTTCCATTTTAAAGTGGAGTGACTCCTGCTTATTCAGAATAGAGATTAGTCATACAAAATGGAGGAAAGAGAGTTTCTCCAGTAACACTAGCAACTCTTTGATACCATTGTTTGTGAGTTGCTGCAGAAGAAAAAATCTATAACAAGAACTACCTATTTGTAGATCAACAGTAGTATATGCAGAGAAGACTTATGTTTGGTATTAATTTAAAGGCACAGTGACACTTCTGCTAGATTTTATGTTATTATAAGAGTTCTAAAACTTTACACTAAAATTCTGTGTACTTTAGGGATCCATATAGTCTGCCATCTGCACAAGTTTTGAAATGAGTTTGCCTGCTTGTGTCTTGTATGCACTCAAGGTGACATCTCTTGTAATTGGATTTGAGTCATCAGATACTGTAGTTTAAGGGTAATCTAAACCAAACTAGACAAAATAATTATATACTGACTCTCCCCAACGACTGTAATGGATTGGGAATCTTGGAAATTTCTCCTTCATAACTGATCGTCCAATAGCTGTCAGATACTATAGGGATTGCCATTATATAAGAATTAGAATATCAGGTATCTTTTTCCAAAGTCAACAAGACATTTTTTTCAAAGGGATTAAAATATCCTGTGTGTAGTTGTCTCCTGATCCAGCAATAATAGAAGAAAATGTTATTTTTATTCATTGATGAGGAGCTCTTCTCAGTTTCTTTTATATTCTTATATTTTGAGTTTTTTTATTAATCTTGTCTATTAACAAAGTTCAATTATAGTCACCCAATAAATTAACTTTTCCACACAACTCCAAGAATATTTCTGTCCCAGGAACAAGCTACATTTCTGTTACTTAGGCCTAACAAATACATTTTTAAAAGTGCCATTTTTATTTTCTGGTCCGGTATGGCAGTCCCAGTAATTTCTGTTATCATTCACCACAATATGAGTGTGTCCATCTCTCTGTACGTATAGATAAAAACCAATTTGTCTTAACAATACTTTGAAAATAAAAAATTAGCATTGTTGATTGGGGATGTCGAAAAAAATTAATTGCAATTAATCATAGTTTTAATTGCACTGTTAAACAATAGAATACCAATTGAAATTTATTAAATATTTTGGATGTTTTTCTGCATTTTCAAATATATTGATTTCAATAACAATTTTTTTATTACAAATTTTTGCAGTGTAAAATGGTAAACAAAAGAAATAGTGTTTTTCAATTCACCACACACAAGTACTGTAGTGAAATTTCTTTATCATGAAAGTGCAACTTACCAATGTAGATTTTTTTTGTTAGATAACTGCACTCAAAAACAAAACAATGTAAAACTTTAAAGCCTGCAAGTCCACACAGTCCTACTTCTTGTTCAGCCAATCACTAAGACAAACAAGTTTGTTTACATTTATGGGAGATAATGCTGCCCGCTTCTTATTTTACAATGTCACCTGAAAGTGAAAACAGGCATTCGCATGGCACTTTTGTAGCTGGCATTACAAGGTATTTACGTGCCAGATATGCTAAACATTTGTATGCCCCTTCATGCTTCGGCCACCATTCCAGAGGACATGCTTCCGTGCTGATGACACTTGTTAACAAAATAATGCATTAATTAAATTTGTGACTGAACTCATCGGGGGAGAATTGTATGTCTCCAGCTCTGCCATATATTTCATGTTATAGCAGTCTCGGATGATAACCCATCATGTGTTGTTCGTTTTAAGAACACTTTCACTGTAGATTTGACAAAACACAAAAAAGGTACTGATGTGAAATATCTAAAGATAGCACTCAACCAAGGATTAAGAATCTGAAGTGCCTGCCAAAATCTGAGAGGGACGAATTATGGAGTATGCTTTCACAAGTATTAAAAGAGCAACACTCCGATGCAGAAGCTACAGGACTTGAATCATTGAAAAAGAAAATCAACTTTCTGCTGGTGGCATCTGACTCAGATGATGAAAACGAACATGAGTTAGTCCACACTGCTTTGGATCATTATTGAGCAGAATCCATCATCAGCATGGACACGTCCTCTGGAATGATGGATGAAGCATGAAGGGACATAGGAATCTTTAGAACATCTGGCATTTAAATATCTTGCGACACCAGCTACAAAGGTGTCCTCACTTTCAGGAGACATTGTAAACAAGAAGCAGGCAGCATTATCTCCTGCAAATGTAAACAAACTTTTTTGTCTGAGCGATTGGCTGAACAAGAAATAGGACTGAGTGGACATGTAGGCTCTAAGGTTTACAATGTTTTATTTTTGAATGCAGTTATTTTTTGTACATAATTCTACATTTGCAAGTTCAACTTTCATGATAAAGAGATTGCACTACAGTACTTGTATTAGGAGAATTGAAAAATACTATTTCTTTTGTTTTTTACAGTGCAAATATTTGTAATCAAAAATAAATATAAAGTGAGCACTGTACACTTTGTATTCTGTGTTGTAATTGAAATCAATATATTTGAAAATGTAGAAGATATCCAAAAATATTTAAATAAATGGTATTCTATTATTGGTTAACTGCAGGATTAATCACGATTAATTTAATTGCTTGACAGCCCTATAAAAATTAATGAATACTGAGACTAAATTCAGGTTATTGGACCAATCAAGAAAAGGTGTCTCATTTAATCATGTAGTTTTACACTGTTCTGAACAGATATTGCTTAATTATTAGGTAAGCTCCTATTAAACACCATTAAATTACTTTAATGAGGCTACTCTTGTGAGTGGGAGTATGGGGGTCACACTCTGACTCTAAGTGTACCTCCTGATGAGTCTGAGTCACCTTTTGTGGATTAATGGGTAGTTTTGCAGCCAGAGCGGCAGGTATTCAGTCTTTTTGAAACATCTGGTAAGAGAAGATGTTATTTGGCTACACGACACATTTTGTAAATTCTGTTAAAACTTGTGCAATCTAACATTGTTTCACATATCTGCTAAGTAACCAAGAAATTAAAATAAAAAATAAAATCTGATCCTGTACATCTTGAATTCCCCTCTGTTCCCCATAGCACTAGGTGTCTGAGCAATGGAAATTCATTACAATGACATGAAAAATTACTGCTTATGTGCACATACGGTGTCTAGCACAATGGATCCCTGATCTCTGATTGGGACCTGTAGGTGCTACCATAATATTACTACTTCTACTGCTACCTCTCATAACAATAATAATTAATGATGAATTAATCACTTTAAATTCATTTCAGTATCATGTGTGTAAATTCTCTGTGATTACCACCTCTTCCTTTCTACTGTACCGTAGGTATATATATTTCTATTTTATGTATTAAAAAATGCGCTATGCATTTCAAATGACTTTCTCTGGGAACACAAGAAATACAATGTAAATTGAAATTAAATATATATATATATGTATATTTAATTTTACAGATGGCTATGTCCTGAGAAGCAGTTTAATGGAGAAGTAAGTACAAAATGATCTTCTGGAAACTTGTCATAAAACATTCAGTTTTGCTGTTAACTACTCATTGTGCAACTAAAAGTGAAAATAAAATATTTTATTGTATGAGTTTATTGCTAAATTGGTTATGAAGTTTAACCTTCCCACATTTGTGTTTGAAATTATCTGTGGAACCACTCCTGTATTATTGACTGAGCATTGAAAAATTCAGGACTCAGCATTGAAAAATTATACAAAACACATGCCTTAATCCATAATTTTAATATTATAATAACCATTATTTAACTGCACATTACTTAAAATGATGGCAATTTCAAATGTTTAAATATATTAGACCAATTTCTCCTCTAATTTTCTCCTGTTTAATTCCAGTGGGGCTGCACAGGTGTAATCCAAAGCAGAATTTGGCTCAGTATTTATGCTTCCAATACTCAGTCTAGGTGCACTGGCTTTAGCATTTAGGGCCTGATCCAAAGCCCATAAAAGTAAATGGGAGTCTTTCCATTGCCTTCAGTAGGGTTTGGATCAGGCCCTTAAACACCAAATTGGATGACAGATTTAGGCCTCAACCCTGCACACTCTTATACATGCACTTAACTTTAAACATATGAGTTGTCCCGTTAAAAACAATGGGACTATTCAATTACATAAATAAGTGCATAAGTAAATAACTTGTTTTGAAAATATACTCTTTGGAGAGCATGTACTGTTTGTAAACGGACAATAGCTGAATGTGTTGTCTAGCATTTACTTTCTCCAGTTCCATTATTATATTGCTGAGCATCTTTTGAGAAAGTTTAAGGATATGATGATTCCCTCTACTACTGTTTTCATTTATTGGTTAAAAAAATAAAAATGAAAATCAATGACCATTTCATTTTAAATCAACATTTTGTAAAAGTACTCACAAAAATGATGATTTTTTTAGTCATCATTTTTCTTACATTGTTTTTAAAAATGCCATTTTCCAAAAAAATGTTATCCATGTCTATTCTTTACTTTCAAGTTCCTTGAGCATGTTGTCCTCTCTACCTGTCTTGATTTCAGAATGTTCCTTCCAAATATAGAAATATCTGAAGTCTATATATAAATATGGTATTTCCTTAATCGTGTTTAATTACTTGATATGTGTCTAGACCATGCTACCTGATTTTGTATCTACTTGCAAATGATAATATATACTATGAGGTTTTTTTAAAATCAAATATATTTTTCTCTTTCTAAATTTACAGTGATGGAGATATCTACGATGATATTGCTGATGGTATGTTGCACATTTCAAACAATATAGTAATTGTTACATTTAATGTAACTGAAATAAATCACTTTTTTAAATCTATGTTAGTAGTAAATTATTATACAATACTAATATTTTTGCATTTTCTTTCCCATTCAGGTTGCATCTATGATAATGATTAATCTTGAATATTGTTAAAGTGTGAACTTCATTGGGGGTAC